AAGTACGGGTTTCTGATCCTTTGGTGATGACACGTTGCCCCAAAGGCCTGGGACAAGGCCGCAGGCACCTTGCCTGGCCACCCTTGTTCGCAGCCTCATGGTGGGTGCCATCTTAGTTTCCAGCCCTGGGAACCACTGAGTCTCCCGTGGGCTCTGCTTTTGTCTCCCTTCCAACTTGGACCCGCCCTAGGCCTCCCACTGGGTTCTGGTGTCTGGGCCGAGGCGTGAGCCTTGTCCCCTGGGGGCTGGCAGGGCTGTGGTGACCACCCCAGGGCGTGATTGCATGGCAACGGGAACTTGTTTTCCCACACTTACCCCACCAGACAGGCCCACACAAGCTGTCTTGAGCACGGGGTCTAGAAGGGCTACCTCTGAGGGCTGAAGGACATCTGCGTAAAGAATGAGCAGGCTTGGGACGTTTTCCCTGTGGAGAGAGGAGAGAGTGCTCTGAGGATGGGCCCACCTCAACAAACATCAAGTAAGCCCCTACTGTGTGCCGGGCACTGCACAGGGTGCTGGGGATCCAAGGGTGAACAAGTGTCTGCCCTCTCAGATCTTACAGACTGAGGAAAGACAGACCAGCGTCTGGGCAGTGATGGTGCTGAGGGCCAGGCACCGTGATGGGAGGGAAATTCCAAGTGCTGGGGGAGCCTAGGTGAGGAGTGTCTCACCCAGCGGTGGCAGTCAGGGAGGCCATTGGAGCCTGGATGAAGTGCATGGAGAGAAGGAGAGAGGCTCAGGGTTGAGGCTGAGGAAATCCCAGCCCAGAAGGCGAGAGGAGAAGACAGAGGCCAACCAGCCATCTTCTTGCTGGTGACTTTGGCTAGCTGGTGGCTGCAGCATGTCCAGCCTATAGCGGAGAGGCCTTCAGCCTGCGCTGCCCGCTGCTGCTCTCCCTGCCAGCCAGGAAACAGGAGATTCTAGTCCTTGGATGCTCTGCTTCTCACCCACCTCTGGCCACATCCAGATCTGGGGCTCAGGGACAAGGTCAGAGGGAGTGTGCTTCTCTAGGGCCACCTGAGACGCCACTCCAGAGGCTGATGCTCAATGTCATCAAGGGAGAAGGAAGACATCATAGTTGGGAAATAGATCAGAGGGTCAAGACTCTGAAGAGGCCAGGCCAAAATGAGAAAATGAGTCAGGAAGCTAAAAGCCAAGAAAGAGGGATGGGTTGAGGCAAGTGTTTCAGGCTAAGACCATGACTAATGCAAGGTGTGGGAAGCCCTGTGTTTTAGGGCAGCCTCGGAAGGCAGCCCAGCACGCAGGACTAGAACCCATGGCTGCTCAGGATGACAATTGTCATGGTCCAATCAGTGTTTCTATGGCCTAGACCCTTGTGTTTACCTGTATTTACCTGTGACAGGGTCAATTCCAGGCCCGGGATGAGAGTTTCTCTCTCCCACACACCAACCTTCAGAGCTTGTCAAGCAGCCACTCTGCTCCAGCAAAGGGAAGATCCAGAAAAGCTTTGGGACACCAGCTCTGCCTTCAAGGTATTTGCTATCTGCTTGCAGAGAGAGCTTGTGCTCACTGGAAAGAGCTCTGGAGAAAGACCTAAGCTTGATCCCCATCGCTGTTCCTTCCCTGGTAGCTAAATGCCTATGGGCCAATTACTTAAACTCCCTGCACCTCCATTTTCCCATCTTCAAAATGGGAATAATTAAAACCTACCTCATAGGGTTGTTATGAGAATTCAATGAGTTGAAGTGCTAAAAGTGCCAGGCACACTGCTTGACACATAATAAGTGCTCAAAAAATACTTGTTCTCTCCCTGAAACAACAACAAATGATCACCATCCTACAGCTAAATGTTGAGTTGTGAACACTGACGCTACCAGTGGATCTGTTCAGCACCTGGATCTACTCAGAAGGTGTCAGGAACAGCTGGGGGCTGATTGCCTAGATGGTGATGGTGAGAAGTTGCATGTGTGTGTCTGTGTGTGTGCACGCATATACATGCATGCACATCCACACGCACGCAAATCCCTGCATCCTTTATCTCCTCTGCATTTGGCAGAAGCATAAGATTCTTCTTTTTCTGTCTCATGTCCAGGATGGTGGACTCTACTAAACTCATTCACAGAAAAATGGATAACCGAATGTTCCAGATGCTTAAAGGGACCATAAAAATCCATGTTTCTTATATTTCTTTCCTACATTCTTCTAAATTTTTTTTTTTTTTTTGTGCTACGCGGCCTCTTACTGTTGTGGCCTCTCCCGTTGTGGAGCACAGGCTCCGGACGCGCAGGCTCAGCGGCCATGGCTCACAGCCTAGCCGCTCCGCGGCATGTGGGATCTTCCCGGACCGGGGCACGAACCCATGTCCCCTGCATAGGCAGGCGGACTCTCAACCGCTGCGCCACCAGGTAAGCCCTGCAGTGTCTTTATATCTCTAATAAGAATCAAAAGTTGAATTAGAAATCATGCCTGACATCTACCATTTCCTGTATCCCAGGTGCTTTAGCAGTCCTCACCTATGAGGTAAGTACTGTTATTATTCCCACTTTAGATGGAGGAAGTCTGGGCTCTGAGAAGTAAAGGAAGTTACTTGAAGTTATACAGCTGGTAAGGACTGGAGTCACAATCCAGGACAGCAGAGCCCCAGCACACCTGCCCTGGACTGGATGTGAGTAACAGTAAACCTCTATCTGACTCATGGATATTCTGAAAGTCTAACTGGTTTCCCCTAGCCTACCCTAGCTAATTCATCTCACAACCCAAGAAGCCAAGTTTAGAAGGATATGGTCTCCAGTTTAGTGACAAAAAGACTGAGGTGCACTTGTAGGAATCGCAGACACTGCCCAGGCATCAAGCTCACTCCAGAGAGTAGAAAGGGAGCTGCAGCATTCCCACCCATCTGTACCTACCCACCACCCACCTCCTCGGCCCTGGCTGTGAATGTAAACTTCAAGGAAACCACCACACCACATGCCCAGTGCCTAGAACATAGTAGGGCTGAAGCAATACATGTTGCATGAAAGGACAGATAAATGAAAACAAACACACACAACATGTACAGTCTATGCACCCTTATACATACACAGTTATAGGCAAAGGTGCCCAATGCATAAGTGCTCAAAACACTCAGTTATAGACAAGCATATACAAAACAGATACTTAAACACACACACTCATACACAAAACACACCCGTGTCCACATTCACAAATCCAAATCCAAAACAAAGACACACATAAACACATGCATATGTATACACAGATATCATGGGCAAGCATATATGATCCAGATATGCACAAACACACATCTACTCACCCCAGCGATACCCAGACATCCTCCACCAAGACCCTGGGCCCAGGAAGGAATCTGTCTGCTCCATGAGCCTTAGCATGTTGGAGCTCGTCAGAAATGTCTTTGCAGCCCCCCCTTAGCTGGCTGGTGACTGGCCCCTGGCTCCTGGACCTCCGGGTTTGGGGCCGGCCAGGCAGGAGGCAGCATCTCCCGCAGCCCCTTGTGGGTGGGCGGGCAGGCAACGGACGCAGAGGTCACTGGGGTGAGAGCTGGGGCTGCCGTGGCCTCTCTTTTCCTGGCTGGAATGTGAGATGTAGGGGCCACCTCTCAGGCCTCCCTCCTCTCCCCCAGCAGCCCACCAGCCCCAGGCCCAGGCCAACCCATGACCCCAAATCCTGCCAGGTTCTTGTAGCCAGGAAGTGTGCGCAGAGGGTGGTGGTGGTGATGAACACTCGAGGACCGTGGGAGGCATACACGAATAACACAGAGATGCACAGTCACACACAGAAGCTGGCCCGGATACTCACCCACGAAGACACACACACAAAGACACAGGCAGGCATACAAGTTCACAATCCCACTGAAATGCACATTCAGACACACTTCCAAACACAGAAGAAAAATCAGGCACATACACACACACACACACACACACACACACACACACAATCACACAGGCATACAGAGATACCAAGAGACCAGATGCTCACAAAGCGACATTTGCACATACAGCAGATGCACAGACATTCAGACCACACAGAGACTGATAGCACACGTGGATCTTCACAACTGCACACAAATGCCCACACACAGGCACAGAGACACGCACACACAGACCTCTTCTGGCAGACCACTGCCATGTTGGAGCACTTCCTCCTCCTCCCGGGACCAGGAGGAAATGCTGCACTAGTAGGCCACTCTCCAAGCCACATGTGGCCGGCTTGCAGGCAGGGCCTGGAAAACTGCTTGCCACAAGAGGAAATAGTGCTGAAGCCCCAGCCAGGTGCCTGCCGTCCCAGTGCCTGGCCAGGAGGATGGTGCATGGGCTGAAGAGACAGCCACATGGCATGGGTTTTGTCTCTGTATGTTAAACACACACACACACGCGCGCACACACACGCACACACACACACACTTTTCAGGAGTACATATGTATGTACAACGTATACAGGGAGGGGCACTCTTGGAACCTCAGTTTCTTCCTCTATAGAATAGGGTTGATGATTCTTTCACCCTTGAGGATTATGGGGATGGCATAAGGTGGCACTGAGAACTACCAGACCAAATCGCTGCCTTCCTGGGCGTCTGGAGCTGCATCTCTGCAGAGGCCTAATGTCAGGAGCCTTGTTCGCAGGCGTTGGGCTCCACACCTGGCTGCCCCCGCCCAAGGTGGCCGGCCTGGAAGAGCCGGAGCCAAGCTGGGGGCCCCTCTCCTGGGCCAGCACTGGGGGCTGCCTGGCTCAGCCGGCGCCCCGGGCAGCAGGCCCCGAGCGTCCCGGGAGAAGCTGCGGGCTGGGCTCCGCCGGGCGGTGAAGCCCGCGTCTGGAGGGCCCCTTCCACGCACTGCCGCCCGAGCTCGCTCAGGTCCGCGCCGCCCGCCCGGCCTCTGGCCCCGCTCGGCGCCCGGCCGCTCCCTAGGACTCGGGTCTGGAGCCTCGTCGGCGGTGGGCGGGGCGGGCCTGCAGCCCCGCCCCCACTCGCGGCCCCTGAAACCCAGCGGCCGACAAGCTTCAGTCCCAGAAGGGAGCTGCTGTCTGAGGAAGAAACTGCATCTTCACTCGCCAGCCACGAGAGGACCTGGGGTCGCGCTGGGCGCCCGACGGACCCGCCTCAGGGACCCGTCTGCCCCACACCGACCGGCCCTGCCGGGCCCTCCGCACCAGGTGCCCCAGCCGCAGCCTTACCTGCGGGCTCCAGAATCCTCAGGGCTTCCAGAGGATGCTCGGGCCACCGACAGGGACCTCGGGGCAGCAGTGAGGGGGGCACACAGCCCCCCATTCAGCTCCTGCCCTCCTGTGCCAGGGGCTCCCCCGGGGTACGAGCATGGTGGTTTTCCCTTGGAGCCCCCTGGCTTGGTACGTCTGAGAAGATGCCTGCCATGAGGCTGTTCACTTGCTTCCTGCAGCTCCTGGCTGGGCTGGCCCTGCCTGCTGTGCCCCCCCAGGTAAGACCCCCACCCCCTAGCCTGGCTTCCCTGATCTTCCCACCCCCAGCACTGGGAACAGGGGGCTCTGAAATCACAGACCCACTCCCGGGAGCAGCACCTCCAAGGATGTCCACACACTTCCCAGGAACCAGGCTGGACCACGTCGTCTGGGAGGAGTCCGCAGGCTGGGCTGTCCCAGACCTCAGCTCCGGGGTCTGTCTTGGCGGGGGCAGGGAAGCCACAGGGAAGGGAGGGAGGTTTCCTGTCTGGCCCCTGGAGCCCTGGTGGCTTTGCTAAAAGCATCTCTCCACTAATCCCAGGCGGGTCCCTGGCCTTGTGGTCAGGGTCGAGGCCCTGTGACCAGGCAGGCGCCCCCAGGACCTCTGACCTGGCCTGGTGGAGGGAAAGCCGGCTGAAAAGACTACTCGTGGGGAGGCTGGGCCCTGCCCCCACCAAGGCTCCAGGCTGAGCCCAGGGCTCCTGGGTGGGCTGGGGGCAAGACAAGGGTCCCACTGTGCCCTCTCTCCCGGATGGGCAGCTGGAGGTCCTGAGTGCAGGGCCTGGGGAAGTGAGCAGGGCCCTTTTCCCAGGAGCTGGGTGAGTCTGGCTGTGAGCCAGCTTGGGCAGCGAAATCCTGACAAAGCCAATGAGCTCCCTTCCCACTGCGCTGTCCCACTGCCCTGGGAGTCCCGAGTCCCAGCCCAGAAGTGGGTGGGCTGGGCAGCTCTACGGGGCGGAAGGGCCATACCACCCGCCGCCCGCTTGCCTGCTGCAGGGCTGGTCAGAGGTGTCACTTTACCGGCAGCACCGGCTCCTGGCGCCACCCGCTCCAGCGCCTCGGCTCTCACCAGCTGATCGCCTCCCCCTGGGCTCTGGCACCCAGCCAAGGCGAGCTGCACAGGGCCCAGAAGGGCTGCCTGGGGGCTGGGTAGAAGGGAGACCCCAACGGATCACCAGATCTTTGGGACAGAGCAGGCAATGGGTCTCCAAAAACTTCCAGCCTCCCACCCTTTCCAAATGAGGAAACTGAGGCCAGAGAGGGGGTGGGACCCACCGTGGGACCCACCCAGGGTCCCTTGAGTTTTTTGTTGCACCTGGAAGGAGCCAGCTGCGAGACAGGGCAGAGTGTGTGCAGCGGGTGGGAAGGAGCTCAGAGTCAGAGGGGCCTCTATGATCTTACCGACACACTGGGCCCCAGAGCGCAGAGGCCCAAGGTGGTCCCCCTCATCTCTGCACCTTTCTGTCCACAGCAGTGGGCCTTGTCAGCTGCGAACGGCTCATCAGAGGTGGAAGGTAAGCTGCCTGGGCCCAGGGGGTGGGGGTGGGGCCGGAGGGGCGGGTGCACGGCTCACCAAGTCCTCACCTCCTGGGCCTCTGCAGAGGATGGGAAGGGTTGGCATGAAGGGTGGGTGCAGGCTGATACTGAGTTGGGGAGAGTCTGCAAGCTGGCTGATGCCCTGGCCAACAGAGTTGGCAGGGCCTGAGAGACCCCCCCATTGTGACCCAGAGGCCTAGAGAGGTGTCTTCCTGGGCCAGGGTCACCCGGCGCACAGAGAGCAGGGCTGGGGCCCGTTTACCCAGGATTCATCAGGTTGGGGTTCATCAGAGCCCCTTCCCAGCATGATGTAAGGGGGCAGATGGGGTCTTGGAGGGCAGTGCAGGCAATGAGTGCCAAGGGGCCAGGCTGGGGGTCTATGAACTGGATGTAGTGGTCCAGCAGTCAAGAGGACCAGGGAGGGGCAAGAGGACCTTCCCAGCAGCCAGCCCGGGAGGAGCTTCAGGGACCTGATGAGGCCTTTCTACTGATTACAAACAGAATGAGTTGTGCCTTCCCTGGCCCCTCCACTCCCCACCCAGGGTTGCATCAAGAGGGAATCTTCAAAGGGTGAGACAATTTGCCAAAGAGACATACGTGCAGAAGACAGGAGGCCCATGCCAGGCCCCCTGCCTTGCCCCTCCCTCCCTGCCTCTCCGAGACGTGCAGCCAGGCCACACACCACTTCCCACGGAAGAAAGGGAGCGGGTAGGGACGTGCACACGCACACGCGTGGTGACCTCTGTGAGCTGGGAACACCCTCCCTCTACTGCCTGGTAGCCAGCCTCTCCTGGGCCTGTCCATGCTCTGACGGCTGAGTCCCGGGCCCCTTGGGCACTGAGAAGGTGGGGGTGGTAGCAGACGTTGATTTCATTGATATCCTCTCCCTCCCCCTGCTTGCCCTCTGGGATTGGCACAATATTATGCTCTCTGGGATTTGGAGAGAGACCCATCACCTACCTCCACCCCATGGCCTTTTTGATGCTTTTAGTATATTTCAGATAACAGCTATCAAAGAAGTCTGAGCCTCAGTTTCATCATCTATAAAATGGGAGCATTAAACTACATGATATCTAAGGTTCTTTTTCTCAGATTGTAGGATTCTGTGACTCCATGGAGGAGACACAGGAGTATATATCTCCCAGGGACCCGGGTGAGGAGGGACCCGGGTAGTGTCGATCCATTAGGACAGCTCACCTGTCATCCTGATCAGTTAGGGAGCCTGTATCATGACCAGGGAAGGAGCTTTGGACCCCAGTTATAAAAATCCTGAAAATGCCATCCCCTCCTAACACCAGACAAGAGACAGAATGGTCTGTGCTTTGCAGCCACAGACGTTGATTTTTTGCTATTACTATTCATGGTAATATTATCAGGCATTTACTATAACTCTGTGCCACAAGCTGTGAACTAGGAAGGCACTCGTATTCTCCATGTTTTATAGATGAAGGCTCTGAGGCTCGCAGAGGCCCTTGGGGTCACCTAAAGCCTTGGACACTCTTCAGTACATGTGGCAGAGCTGGAGCGCGTGGCACCGAGCCTCCCCACGGCTCACAGCTGAGCAGGCATTGAGCAGGGTGTCCCCTGCCGCAGGCTGGGTGTGTGCCCCGCCGGTGACCACCAAGAGGATACCTGCTGGGCCCGGGCTGGTGCCCAGTGGCTCTGCCCAGCCCGGTCCCCCCACCCTCCCAGTGGCCCCCCCCAGGAGCTTGCTCTCAGGATGAAACACTTCCCATCTGGGGTCTCCTCTGTCCTGGGTGGTAGGCAGCTGGAGCCAGATGGGAGGCTCACCCAAGGGCTGGCAAGAGAGCCGAGAGCCCACTTTTTGGCCCCGGGAGCAGCCAGGCTCCTGCCTCGGCCACAGCCTCCCGTTCCTCTCCCCCCACCCCGGCCTCTGAGCAGGTCTGGGGCCAAAGGAAGTGCCCTCAGGAGCAGCTGAGCAGAGCTCTTTGCTGAGGGGCTCAGCCCACAGCTGGGAGTGGTCACAGCACTCCCTCAGCCAGCCCCTCGCCCAGCCCCCTCTGTTTCCCCCACACACCCAGACAGCAGCCCCAGGAATGAGCTGCCCCCTTTCCTGGTGGCTGCCAGGTAAACCAGGCCCAGCCCACCTCCTTCTCAGCCCTCTCCCAACACCTTCCGGCCATGAGGCCCAGAAAGCGGTGGGCTTCAGGGCCCCGGAGCCTGGGTCCTGTTGCCACAGTCTGCATGGTGGGTGAGGGGAAAGGAAATCCCTTCTGCCTCCTAGGCCCTGCGGCTCTGCTTAACCTGGCGGTGGCCCCATGGCCCAGCTGGGTGGAGTTTGCTTGCGGGATGGTAGGGGGACGGGGTGCCCCTTCTCTGCTGCTCTCCCCCTCCCTGATGGCTGGTCCCGGGGCAGGACCCTGAACCTTCTGTGGCACTTTGACAGCTGGCTATCCCTTTGCTGTTATTTATGTTTTCCGAGGCAGAGATTAAATGTTCAGAGTTGTGCTTATGAAGGTTTTAGACTAAACACGCACTCACAGAGTTACAATAGGGAGGTGCTCCTCTGACCTCTCCCTGCAAAGGCTGGCTTCCCTGGGGCTTTGGGCTGCCTGGAGGAGAGGGCCTTGTTTCCCACTTGGGTCCAGGGAGGGTGACCCAGTGGCCTGGAGAGGCAGGATCAGGGAGGTCTCTGGTCTCCCTCCCATCCCTGGGCCCAGCCCTAGTGCCCCCTAAGCAGACAGGGCAGAGTGGAGCAGCAGACGCTCAGATAAGCGCAGTTTATTGCTCTGTGGCCGCTTCAGCCAGCTCCACGTGGACACACTGCCTCTTGGGTATTTTCCACCAGCTTGCAGCCTTTCCCGAGGGCCTCTGCTAGGGCTGAAGTTTATTTTTCCTCTGAGATTACCCTGAGACTCACGTCCTCGCAGGCTCAGTAGAATGGACTTCAGCCCCTTCTGCCTCCTAGGAAGTGACATGAAAGGTAGTGAGGGGCTGCTAGGAGAGGCCATTGCCCTAGGGCAAAGGCTGCAGCATCCCCAGGTGGCCCAGCTTCCCTGTCCTCCCGCACCAGCTGAGGATGACCACCAGGTACCGGGCAGGATGACCCAGGACTGGAGATGTGTCTCTGCTCACGGTCTCACAGCTGGGCTGGGTTGTGTGCACAGAATCACAGACTGCCTGTTAGATCTGGGAGAGCCCTTAGCAACCAACTGTTCCCAACCTTCTTTTTTTCCTCAGCTGAGGAAACTGATATACCCAGAAAGGTGAAGTGACCTCCCCAAGGTCACACAGCCAGTGTAGGGCCAGGACTGGAAGCCAGGTCTCCTGGCTCTGGCTACTCACTTCCTGTGAGCCTCTGTTTGGGACCAGGCCCCAGGCCCTCCCCTGAAGGAGCAACGTCTTTTGAGAGACTCCAGATCAGCCCCCAGAAGATCCTGGTCAAGACCACCAGGACATCGTGGGGGTCAGGGATGTCCCTGATAACCTTCAGCGAACTATCATCTAATCAATCAGTAATTACTTAGCCTGTGTTTACTGGGTGCTTGGGTCCGTGTCTTCAAGGAGCCTCAACTTGCTTGTAAAAAAGATAAGAGCCACCAGTGACGGAGATAAGGCAAGCCCTTGGGGCTGAGTTATGCTCAAAAAAGGAACATCTGTTCACGCTGGACAAGTAGGAGAAGGCTTCGGAGAGGACGAAGGGAGGCGGGCCTGGGGGAGTGGGAAGTGGGCTTTATTTGGTTAAAAACGAGAAGGGGGCAAGGAGCATGGACCTCAAGTGGGAATTAGGATGATGTGGCCCCGAGCTCTCACGAGGGTGGCCTGACCGAAATGGAGCACGGGAATGGGGCATGTTGCTGGCTGCAGTCTTGGCCACCAGGCAGAGGAGCTGGCCCAGTGTGGGGCAGGAAACAAGGACTAAGGGGAAGGCTAACCCTCCCTGTGGGACTCTGCAAGCCAGTCTTGCAGAACTGACTGTTTTCTGCCAATTCCCCAAGACTGAGGAAGCACCAGGTCAGGGCTAAGAAAGATCCAGAGGGCCTGGGGAGCTGCCAGAGCACGCGCTCCTTGAAGCTTCAAGGCACCGAGGCAGATGCGGGCCCCTGAGTTGAGAATAGAGCTGAGAGCTCAAGACACTGAGAAATTCCGTTCCACTGGGATTTCCATCTGGCAGACGAGTTGGAGGTCCAGCTGTCATCCCAGAGGGATCACATCAGGAGTTCAGAGCCAGGGGAGCTCACATAGGCTGGGGGCTTCCTGGAGGAGGGGGTGTGGGCTGAACCTGGGAGGACCCGCAGGGCCTGGGCTTCAAGGAGCAGGCCCCTCCTGGCCTGACGCAGCTGTCTGTGCCTCCTTGCAGTGGTGCCCTTCCAGGAAGTGTGGGGCCGTAGCTACTGCCGGGCCCTGGAGAGGCTGGTGGACATCGTGTCTGAGTACCCCAGCGAGGTTGAGCACATGTTCAGCCCGTCCTGCGTCTCCCTGCTGCGCTGCACGGGCTGCTGTGGCGATGAGAACCTGCACTGTGTGCCAGTGGAGACAGTCAATGTCACCATGCAGGTGAGCAGGCTCTCCTCGTGTCCGGGCCTGCCCCTCTGTGCACATGCTGCTCAGAGGGCCACAGGACCTGCCCCCGAGGGGGCCCGGGGAGGGAAGGAGGGCAGGCCAGGGTCACAGGACTGGGACTTATGCCCAGGCCCATCCTCTTACCACAGTGCCCCTCCTTCCTGAAGCCCTGCCCCAGCTTTGAGCCCCCTCACCTCCTCCCTTACCAGCTTTCTCAGCCTCTGGCTTAGCCCTGCCCCAGGACCTAGGATATCCGGTTGAGTTTGGAAAAGAAATTTGTTCGGATTCAAGATGTCCCTGTTTATACCAGGGACATTTGACATTTTGTGCCCGGAGCTTTCTTACACACTCACACCTACAATGGTTTTTTGAGCACTCGTTGAATAATGCCAAGCACTATGCTAGGTGCTTCAGAAATGTTACCTCAACATTCGATCCTTAGAGCCAAGTGATATTCGCATTTCACAGATGAGGAACCTGAGATTCAGAGATGTTATTTCACTTGCTCAGCAGGTGGAAGAGCCAAGCTTTGAACATAGGTCTCGCTGCCTCCAGAGCAGGGGCCCCCTTCCTACACTATTGCTACGCTGGTGAGAGGGACAGGAGCCTCCCTCAGCTCCACATGCAGGCAGGAGGGCTATTTGCCCCACACTCAAAGCGAAATGAGGGTGTGTAGTCCAAAGACTGGTGGGAAATAGGGCGGCTGGTCCTCATGCAAGGGGAGGCTGGAGGGAGTATTGGAAACCCCAGGCCACCCCCAATCCAGTCACCCAACCTTCCTCTCCCCTCAGCTCCTGAAGATCCGCTCTGGGGACCGGCCCTCCTACGTGGAGCTGACGTTCTCTCAGCATGTGCGCTGCGAGTGCAGGTGGGTCCTCGGGTGTGGCAGGGACAGTACCCACGAGCATGGCAGCTTCAGCCAGGGGCTGCCCGTCCCTGCTTCCTAGTTGAGGGACACCAGGGAAATCAGCAACCAGTGGCAGCTGCTTGTGCCTCCCCATCAGCCGGTTATGCCCAGGGAGCTGGTCCCAGCAGCTGGACCACAGCTGCTGAGAAACCACAGGGATGGAGGGAGCCAGGGTCCCTCCCAAACTTGCCAGGCTCAGGGCACGCCATCTCCCTCCTCAAGCTTGGGAGGCAGCTGTCACGGCCCTGGAAGAAGTGACTGGACTTGGTTCTAGGCCAGGCTGGTGCCCACGGGAGGGGTCAACTGGCTGAGGCGCGCAGGGACGGACAAGCCCTGGTGGGAGGGGAGGGGCAGAGGGAAGGAGCTTTCTTTGAAGTCACTCCCCCACCTGGGAGAGCCTGTCACCAGCACATCTTGCTGCTGGTGCCCAGGGTACTCTGAGCATTAGTTACCAGGAGCAGCAGGCCTGGCACTGCCAACCAGGCTCAGGGAAGAGAGAAATGGGCTCAGGTGCTCTCCTGGTACCCCTGGGTCATGGATGGAGGCACCAGACAAGAGGTCCTGAGCCCTATCCTGGGGCAGGAAGAGGGGGAGGACCACCATTTATGGTGCATCTCCTCTGTGCCTCGCCACGCATTAGGCACCTGACTGTGTTTTCTCTTTTATTCAATAAACATCCATTGAGCACCGACTGTGTGCTAGGCACTGTCCCAGATACTTGGGATACAGTGGTGAGCAAGACAGACCAAGTCCCAGCTCGCCTAACAACCCTAGGAGATAGGTACCATTGTCGTCCCATTTTACAGATGAAGAAACTGAGGCTTGCTATGGTTACATGATTTGCCACAGCTAGTGAGTGGACCCCAGCCTGTCTAACCCCTAAGCTTGCCCTTTTTCTTGCTACCTCTCGTGGCCGTTACCACACTCTCCAGGAGCCCCAGTACTGCCCTGGGCTTGGTCCTGCCTAGTGTCCTGGGCTCTGGCCACCCCTCTTGGATATGTACCACTGTTAGAGGCCCTGCCCCAATCTGTTTCCTCCTGTCCCCCCTTGCCAGGGTTTGGCCATATAACAACGGTTCAGTAACAAACCCTCCCGGGCACAGTGCTTGACAGTGACTTTTCACCTTCCACATCACCTTTGCCCTCACAGCCTCTCTGTTGGGGCAGACAGATGAGAAGACTGAGGGCCCAAGAGTATCTCTGACTGGTCCCAGATGGCAGAGACACGACCAGGCAGTCCCAGGAGGCGCTGGTACCCTGCCCTGGCTCCCAAGGGAGATGGCCAGCCTAGGGAGCCTTCCCTGACCTCAAAGCTTGCTGTCGCCATGCTGCCCCATGCCCCCACTCTGGCTCCCAGGGGAGACTGAGGCCCTGTCCCCTTCCAGAGGGCTGGGCAACAGGGCCACCTTTCTTCTCTCTTCTGGGTCAACAGCCACAGCGCCCGGAGGCAGAGGCAGGACAAGCCTGGTGACGGTGGGGCTTTCAATCAGCTCCCCTCACCCCACCCTTCACCCTGGCCCCCGATGCTGACTGCACCGTCACACATCCTCAGGGTGGGGGGTGGCGCGATGTCCACCTGACAGGTGGCCTTGCCCCTCATTCACTGTCAGCGAGGAAACTCCCAGAGGGCACCCTGGAAGGAAGGGCAGGTGCGAGGGAAGGAAGTGAACAGAGAAAGGCAGCAGAGAGCAGACTCATTCCCCAGATTTGATGCCAAGAGGCAGAGGAGAGCAGAGGGTGTGGAGAGGACCCCCAAGAGGGCATTCACACCTCTCTTCGTGGGGTCACCAGAGTCTAGCGTGGGAGCGGAAGCCCCAAGGCCTCTGGGCATCTCTCCCTAACTAGCTCCATGCTACCCCCTAGTGGCTTCAGTGCCAACTACAGGACCAGGGCCAGTGGTGTCCTAGGGGGGTTAGTGGGGCAGGGAGCCCCCGCTTACTGCTTTCCTGATTCTCCCCTGCTCCTCTCTGTTTTCCCAGGCCTCTGCGGGAGAAGATGAAGCCAGAAAGGTAAGCAGCCTGGCTGGGGCGCCGGGCTGTTCTCAGGCCTGCCAGCCCCTGTCCTAGCATGGGGGCCCCCAGCCACTCTGTCCTGACGCTTTTGGCTTATTACAGGAGGAGACCCAAGGGCAGGGGGAAGAGGAAGAGAGAGAAGCAGAGACACACAGACTGCCACCTGTGAGTGCGCGGGGGGCCCAGGGATGGCAAGGAGGCTGGGCCAGAGGGGAGCCCAACCCTGCCAGCAGGGTCAGTGGTCGGGGAGGGATAAAGCCAGTGGTCGGGGGCCACAACCTAGAGATTCTAGGGCCTAGGAAGCCTCAGGTGAACCAGGACAGGAACCAGGAAGCCTTGCTTCTTGTCCTGGCTTAGCTCTAAGTTTTTGTGTGGCCTTGAGCAGGTCACGTCACCTCCCTGAGCCAAGATTTTCTCTGTGTGTAGAATGAGGGGTCAGGGGGTCCACCAAGCATTCAGTTGGTCTACATGTACTAAGCACTTACTGTGTGCCAGGTACGTCAGTGGGCAAACCAACAAGATCCTTGCTCTTACAGGGCTTACATTCTAGCGCTAAAACGTCCGAAAACTCAGCCAAGGCTACCTCCTGGTGGCCCTGGGGAAGGTGTAGCCCCTCACCGGCTCCCAGACCAATATTTCTTCCACCCTCCCAGGGAGCCTTGGGGTCCACTCGCTTCCCTTTCCCTCTCCTTGTTACCTGCCCATTTGGCTTCACATCCGGAGGACTAGGCTGGAGTCCAAGCCTGCGTGTTGGGAGAGCAGGATTAGAGAAGGGAAAACCCAAATCTGTGAGAGTAAAGAGTAAAAATAAAGTATTTCATCATGCACAGTAACTCAGTCACACCACGGTTCTCCTTCAGGGCCTGTCTCCTTCCACCAACAGGACTCAGGAAATCATTTCATGCCATGGGACTGGGGCTGACCAAGTCCTACCCCATGAGCCCACCCCTGCACGAGTGGAGACTTCCACCCCGCTCTGTGAAGATAGGGATGCTGGGGAGGATTCTGGGTGGGTCCTCTGCAGACACATGGCCCTAATTTCTCCCCTGGGCCCAAGCAGCAACTGGGGGAGGAGCTGGCAGTGTAGTCAGTGCAGGGCTCCCCAGCTGGGCAGCCCCAGATGAAAAGCATCCTGTCCTCTATCTGCTAGGGCAACAGTCTTCAAACGTTTCATTTGGGAATCTCTTGAAAGAAATTCAAAAACTCATGTGCTCCCTTGTTCACTTTTAAGTTGACATTGAACTTTTTCATCAAAATTGTAAATAGTTGCAAAGGATGTAACTTCTGGCCTATCATGAATATTAATATTTTAATATAAAGCCATTATATCACTCTCCAAATGTATCCCGTGGAATAAGCCATCCTAATTTAATACCATCATCCACTCTTAAAAAAATGAACAGCAACAAAAAAAAATATATGAGCACTCTCCTTTGATAGTTGAATATTTCCGTTGCTTCTTTTTTCCTTGAACTTGTCTTTCCATTTTACTTTCCCCACAGAATTTCAGCCTTATGTAGTATTTTCTTTAAATATTCAAACGTCTTTTATGTATCACCTTGTCATATTTATCTGCCACAACAATGGTTTGAATTATTTTAAATTTCATGTGAGCAGAAAACTCGAAATTCAATTTTCTCTTGGAATGAATTATCACAATAATTATTAGTAGTAGCAACTGATCAAAACAGCACAAATACATCGTATTTCACTAGATGCTAAACGCAAAAGTACAATCAATCTTACTGGGAATATGCGCCCCAATGAGATGGATGCGGCTACTTCTTTGCAATTAGTTAATGAACTCAGTAACGAATGTTACCTCCTGCCAGACTGAGGCAGGATTCAATAGTAATTCCATTCCTGTGCATCGTTTTTTGTAGATGAAAAGACTGAAAAACCATGTTCACATAAACAGGTAAATGGGACTGGAAGTCACTCAATCACTTGAACTCCTTCCAAGTTGTTTGCCAAAAACCTCAAGGTGATCTGCTACAAAAATTACTTCTCATGACAGATTAACTGACAATTCGGTTAAGCTGTTCTTCAATTTTGTTGAAAGCAGACTTGGAAACCACCCCACTTGCAAAACGCTTGGTTACCCAGTCAGTCACCATATTTCCTTTCTCAACGCCTACAACAATGTCTCAGATGGTTATTTTATTCAGTGTCCCCTCGAATCCTTTTTACCTTGGGGAAAAGTACTGAAACAGCATTTAGAATGGACAAGATGCTTCCTTCCTTCCTAAGGAAGGCAACTGGGAACAAGATGGTGGGAAGCAGACCTCAGGTGGAGAAGATGGGGGAAGCGGACCGCTCACGCAGACAGTTTTCAGGCAGAGTACATGGGAAGGCTGAAAACAAATTCCTTTAAAACCATCAGTACATACACCTTGGACAATCTTCATGTACACCTAGGGGTTCCCATATCCTCGTTTGAAGACTGCTGTCCCAGAGTAAGCAAAGGCATTGGTGCATGGAGCCAAATTGCGTTCAAAGTAGACTTCGTCTCTGACTAGCTGTGTGACCTTGGGCAAGTTTCTTAACCTCTCTGAGCCTCAGTTTCCTCATCTGCAAAAGGATGATAGTGCCTTACTCATGGGATATTGTTAAGGGTAAATGAGAGAGTGCTTAGCGCGGGGCTGGGCACCTGGGTGCGTGCTTGGTGAAGGGTAGCTCCTAGCTGCTTCTTGGCCTCGTGCAAGCAGAGATCCAGGCTTCCCATGCTCCCTGTCCAAGCTTCCCCTCTGGGTTTGTGCCCCCTCCCATAGGAGGGACCCCACCCTCCACGCTGGGCTGATACCCGCTTTCTGTGTTTGGTCTCTGGCAGGTGCGGCGATACTGTTCCCCGGAGGTAACCAGCCCCTCGGAGGAGAGAGAGACCCCACACCCAGCTCGTGTATTTATTACCGTCACACTCTCAGTTACCTCCCTGCTGGCACCTGCCCTCTATTTATTAGCCAATTGTATCCCTGCTGAATGACTCACTCCCTCCAAGAGGAGGGGCAGGGAGGGACAGGACCCTCAGGAATTCAGTGCCTTAAACAGAACGTGAGAGAAAGAGAGAAGACAGACCCATGTGGCTTCAGCTTGGGAAGAAGCAAGACGTGTGGCTTTGTGAGGGGCAGGCCAGGCCCCAGAGGCTCCAGGGGTCACCAGGGGGCTGGAGAGGGAAGGACTGGAGACCCACCGCCTGCCTCTGCATGGACCAGCAGCCCTTGCTGGGGGAGCTCCTGGCTGGGGTGGAAGTGGAGAAAGCCTGCTCCCACTGGCCCTGCTGGGAGGGTGAGCAGGCAGCAGCTCTGCACCCTCTTCCTGGCAGCAGCTCTACCCCTGGAGATCAGAACGTTCAGCTCTGGAGAACAGTGGTTGCCTGGGGGCCTTGGCCACTCCTTGTCCCCTAGGTCTGGCCTCACATCTTGCCACTGCTTGTGCTGGGACATTGTTTTTACAGCTAAGGCGTCACCATCCTGCCCCTCCCAGGGACACAGGCAAAGAGTGGCCCCAGGCTGGACATGGAGCAAGCTGCCCCCGCGTGGCTGTTTGACCACCAAGCCAGATTCTCTTGAATAAAGTATTTTAGTCTGGAAACAGCTTTCCAGGGGAGTGTGTCTGCCAGAGCAGCGGGCAATAGCAGGAAATGGAAGCCGGACAGAAGTAAAAGGGACCGTGGGCTCCAAGGCTGCCCGGGGGTAGCTCGAGCCTGTTGCTGCAGCTCCCTGGGGCATCTTCTCCCAGGTGCTTTAGGCACAACCCTGAGGCCCACTCCTCCCATAATGAGGGGTTCCCAGGATGGAGGCTTGGCCCCAAACTTGGGAGGCCCTGACTCCAGCCACCCCGATCACCCTCAAATTCAAGAGCACAGTCCCCTTCCTCTCCCCCCAGGACCACCCTATACCCAGCCCAGTGCCCGACCCTCTGGACCCTGAGTGAATGGGGGCTCCCAGGTGCCACAGATTGTGGCCCTGGGGGGCTGAACTGAACCACCTCCAACCCACGCTGGCTGCTGAATGCAGGGATTGGCAGATGCTGCCTGATCTCTTCCTCCTTTGACCTCCTGTCTTCCTCTGTCTTCCTCCTGAACACCTTGGCATGAAATGAGAAAAAAAATGCTTTTTTTCTTTTTTCAATCCCATACACTTACTCTCTGATTCCCTTCTGCCTTTGACCCACAAGATGTGTTTGTTTTCCTGTTGTGTTTTGGGAAGAGGAGCTCCCTGTTCTCTCTAATTGCAGGCTGTTCAGACAAAGCCACAAGGCCCGGGGGCAGGCCCGCCCCAGGCTTTGGAAGGAAGCCATGGAACTCCAGTGAGGTAGGTGGAGTGGGGGGGCCCTGCTGAGGCCCTTGGTGGTCTGTTCACCGAGGCCCGGGCCCCCCTGGAGGACAGTCTGGTCAGAATATGCTTCTGGCTGGTGACCACAGAGTAGGGGTGGGCCAGCCCCAGGGGACATGCTTTGCAGAAGAAACGCACTTTCTCTCCAGCTTCTCCACTCTTAGTCTGTACGCATTCCGAGCCTTTGCCTCTGAGGGACTGAGAACTGAGAAGAGCACCCCTCCCCCTTAGGCTCTGATGTGGCCCCAGGGACCCTACCGCAGCCCTTGCAGCGTCTCCAAGGCTCTCAGATTCACAAGTCACCCGCATGGAGGTCTGCCTCCCCACCCAGACCAGCCACCTCTGTAGAGAACTAGACAGAGACCAGGGGAGCATCCAGAGGCCAGGAGCAAAAATCTGCGTCCGTGGCCAGAGCCTCACAGCAGGAGTCAGTAGGAAAGGAGCTGACTGGTCCACCTGACTACATTGGCCATCCTTTCAAATCATTTAGGACCTAGAAGGCCCTTTTCCTTTGCTCTTTATATATTTGTGGAGCCCCACCTGTGTACCTGACACTGTCCTAGGCACCAAGGACTCAGTGGGAAACAAAACTCCCAGGACCTGCTCTCATGGATCTTGTATTTAGTGGAGAGACAGACTGTAATTGTGGGTTAAGGATGTTGGGTGGACTTTATTCTTTTTCAAATTGGAGACTGGACCATACTTAGGAAAACAGGGTCTTGAGTATCCCACACTCTAAAACAAAGAAGAAGCAATTTGGGGCTGGACACATCTGCCTACAGGATTTATTAAGAGATGGCTGAAGTAAACCTGCTAGGCTCAAACATCACCCAGCATCCCCTTCCTCAGTCTCCATAAGCGGAGGACCAGGGAGGGGGAAAGGAGAGAGAAGGAGGGGAGGTCACCAGAGACCTGGGTTGCTGGCCCCTTCTCGTCTCCCTGGAGCTGGATTTGTCATTCAGATTAGCCCATGTGCTAGCTGGCTGGGAGTTGGAGGAATGGAGAACTGAATAGTGAGTGACAGAGGATGGGGAGAGGGGACACCTCAGCACCTCCAGCAGGAGTTTGCAGGGGGACATGGGGGAAGGTGAATGGCCATGAGCCTCCTTTCTTGTGTTCTTCCAAGAGGGACACGTGCAGATGAGGAAACCCCAGAGGCTCGAGGCTGTGGACGTAGGGTTGGGACGGTAGCTGAGTGGAGGTGTCAGGTATAGATCTGAAAAGGGCACACAGTAGGGAGCAGTGCGTGGGGTAGCCCTGTAGTGTGCAGTGCACCCACGCAAGAGTGGGCATCTAGACGCCCGTCATACGAGGCGCATTCATAGCTGGAGAAGAAATGGCCACAGCTAAGAGAAACTTTCCCCTAATTTCTCCTTCCTGACCCTGTGAAAAAAGAGAAAGGGACTTTGGCGAGGAAAATAGAGAGGAGTACAGGGGCAGACTACGCCTCTCCCCGCTCTCTTGAGCCAAGTCCAGGATATGCCCAGGGGAGAGAAAGGGCTTAGTCTTAAATTGGATGGACCAGCCTAGATGGGGCTGGACCTTTAATAAATTAAAGTGACAGGAACATTAGAAGGTCTGCCCAAGATGCTATTAAGAAACAGGAAAAGGAGGATCAACATAGTTAATCTACAAGCAATGATGAGAGAAAGAAACTGGTTTGTTTGTACTCCCACGGTTTGCTCAATAAGGAATTTATACATGTAAACAGAGAAATTAATGAGAAAATGTCTTATTGCCAGAATACGGTTCTGGCATATTAGAGATGGCCCTTCCTTTGAATCTGAGTTGACCTGGGTCTACTTTGATCAATAGAGTAGAGCAGAAGGGACTTTATAATTGTTCCAAGTCCTTTAAAGAGCACTGGCAGCTTCTGCCTTGGTCTCTTGGAACCCTCGGCTGCCACGTAAGCAGTCCAACTATTGTGAGGTCACCATGTTGGAAGGAAGCCCAAGCTAGCAATTTAGATATGTATAAATATGTAGGCAGGGGTAGCAGCCAGCTTCCAGTTGCTCCAGCTCCCAGGCATTACAGTCATCTCAGCTGAAGCCCCAGACCCCATAGAGAAGAGAGACATAAGCTGTACTCTCTGTGCCCTGTTTGATTTCCTAATCCGTAGAATTATGAGATGTAATAAAAACAAAGTGTCTGGGGGCAGTTTGCTATGCAGCAATAGGGGCTGAATGGAAAATAAGGAAAGGTGATGAGATAGTGTTTGGGGAAGGTTCTCTAGACCAGGAGGTCACGGAAGGCCTCTCTGTGGAGGTGACATTTATGGTGAAGTTGTGGTCATGTGAAGATCACTCCAAAACAGGACAAGAGCCCTTTGAATGGAAAACACAGCTGATGCAAAAGCCTAGAAGGAATCCCAGTGTGGCTAGAGCGTGATGAGTAAGGAAGGAAGGGCCAGGAGGTGTGATTTTAGAGGTAAGCAGATCATGAAGGGCTTTGCAGGGTAAGGAGTTTGAATTTTGTTGTAATGTAGAGGGAAACCATTGGAGGGTTTCAAGCAGGGGAATGACGTGATATTACGTACATTTTTGAAAGATCACTCTGCCTTCCATGCGGAGGATGGACTCTAAGGGCACAAGACCAGAGGTACAAATACCACCTAGAAGGCTATAGCAAATCCAGACAACCAGTTATGGTGGTTTTGTCTAGGAGGAAGCACATGGGATGGAGAGTTTGGTCTTAATTATGCATGTGGGCTCGTTACCCGGATCATTCATTCATTCATGAACATTTTTTGAGTCTACTAGGAACAGGCATTTTGTAGCAGATACAGGTGTGAAGGGGCAAAATATGTTAGCACACGAAAGTCTTTCCAGTGTCCCCACTTACTAAAGAAAACCCCATTCTGGAAGAAGTAAGGATAGAGAGAGGTCTTAGCTGGAAAGACTAAGTTGTCTACCTGAGAACTAAGAGAGAGAAGGCACGATTCTGAGACAGAAATAAAAGATGCCAGGGCCAGAGCTAGAGAAAGAGCTTGGCGCTCTGTTTGGAGCTTGGAGTTTGGAGCTCTGTTTGGAGAGAAATAAAAGATGCCAGGGCCAGAGCTAGAGAAAGAGCTTGGCGCTCTGTTTGGAGCTTCTGATGATTTAAGACAGCTTGGGGAGCGAAGGAAGGGTTTGGGGAATGTTGCTACACTTCCCTAATGTTGAAGGCCCTAATGTTCTTAGGCAGAAACCGAACCCAGTGAAACACCTGGATTAGCTAGGATTACACAGAGATAGCTAAGACATTGTCCCTGCTCCGAGAAAAACTCTGTCAAAGGAATCAGATACGCACAGGTGATCACAACAGAAGGAAAGAAGGCCACGTAGCTTCAGCAAAGGCAGATGGAGTGCTACTAAAGAAATCTGAGCTGAGCTGATTTACCCATGGAGAAAATCAGGGCCAGCTTTGCAAAGTCAGTGACATTGAGGAATAGGCAAGCCTGAGTGCGGGGAGATGGCTGGGGAAGGTGTTCTAGGTGGAGGCAACCCACTAACAAAGACCCAGAGGTGTAAAAGCCAGGGGTTTTCCAGTGGTTCAGTGTGACTGATGCTTAAGGTAGGTGCAGCAGAGTGATGGATGAGGCCAGAAGGTGGGCTG